TTGCATAATTTGTAAAGATGTTTTTATTACTGCCTAAACTCTCATAGCTTTTAAAATTGTAATATATAAGGGCATGCTTGTTTACAAATTATTTCATTTTCAATCCAATTCATACTCAAAATCTAACTCAACTTTAACCCAACCCCATTATTTTTAATATTATTCATATAATTAAATAATACAAACCAATCATTCTTACACATCACATCAACTTTAATTCACTATTCATCCACTCACATAATTTTAAGTACCTATTCATTTCTAATCATTTTCAATCATTTATCTCTTACTTTTATATCAAATCAATTTTAATTATTTTATTTTAAATATTATTTTAATACATTCTTAAAATCCCACTAACAATTAACCATACTATATTTTTCAAAATTAACTCTAGTTAACTAAAATAACTCATTTTGAATGAAATATTTCATAAACAATCACCCCCTAAATATAATGGCATGTAAAATAAATTTTAATTATTAAAAGGAAATAAACAAAATATATGTTATGTAAATATTGATAATATAAATGAACTAAAACCTAAAAGCAATGTATTTGATACTTGAAAAACAAAAACAACAAGGGCCAAACTACAATTCACAAAAATGCAGTCTCATACTCTATAAACAAACACGTTTACTTACACTATCAAATGTCATACACTGTTATACTTCTATTTATGATATGTTTTAAAGTATTACATTTTCTACGAAAGCATGCACATTTGTCGGGATTTGGGATGGAGGCAAGCAAAATTTGATATTGTAGACTTGTATCCTTATATATATCATTGCAAGCAAACGAAAGACAGGATTACAAGTCCATCTTATCCCGACAATGCTAATCACACTCCAAAAACACGCACACAATTTATTTACGGAAGTTAACTTTTCTCCCATCCTATTCGAAAAACCAAAATAAGGCCTTACAGGCTCTTTTTTCCAGTGAAGGGAACATAAAGCACACAGATTCATCATCAGCTGTTGTGAATACTCACACTCACCCTCTCTTCCACGCTTGCCTGATCCAACCCATAAAGAGCATCCACCAAGTGCACACGCAAAGAAGCTGGGCCTCCACACAGGCCCAAGCCCACTTCTGCCGAAAGCCCGAAAACAGACAGGGCAGAGGCAGCAGCCTCTAATGGCCTCAATGGGTCGACTGCCACAAAAGCTGCGATTAGGGCCGTGACTGCACAACCTGTAGCTGTCACCTTCTGCAGCATTTGGACACCGTTTTTGGCACTGGCCACTCGCCAACCGTCTGTCACTATATCCACAGCTCCCGACACAGCCACAACGCTTCTGCTCGTTCGAGCCAAGGATTTTGCTGCTTCCACAGTGTCAGTCGAGTCGTGTTTACTGTCCACACCCTGCAAAAGACAAAATTGAAGACCATTACAAATCACACACCTTTATTATTGTGTCTCGTTTGAGTAAACATGTTCTATTTGTTAAGTATTTCCTAATTATTATTTGCTTAATTGAAAGGGTAAATAATTTTTTTCAACTTGTACTATACGTGCTTTTGGGATTTTCAACCTAAAGTATTTTTTTTTTTTGTAAAATGCAAACTGAACTACACATACAGTCACTATTTAATAGTGACTATATATGTAGTTCAGGTTGCATTTTCCAAAAAAAAAAAAAATACTTTAGGTTGAAAATCTCAAAAGCACGTATAGTATAGGTTGGAAAAAATTATTTACCCTAATTGAAATTGCCAATTCGAACTATGTTTACTGAAGCTAAGAAAGTGTTTTTTGCTGAATTTAACAAAGTATTTTTTGCTGAATTAACGCTGTCATTCGGGTTTAGTATGCCTGAAAGACTTGAATTAAACCATAATATGATAAAACATAGTTACTTCTTGTTTGGACAAATGAAGCAATATAAATATGATAAACTACTAAAAGCTTGAATCTTCTATTGTTAATCATCTACACCTTGTGAATTCCCAAAAAGAAATAATAATCATAAAAAAAAAACATCACAAAATATGACATTCTTTATTTACCTTTGCTTGCACATTTTGCTATCAGATAACTGGTACAACAAAAAAACATACAGAAGCCAGCTAACTTTAACACTACGACTAACTAAAGTACTATAAATCAGTATTTAGGGTTGCTTCAATTTAACTGACCCAATTGTTTGATGCATACCTTGGAATTCTCATCCACAGAGGCTTTGAACAGAGCCATAATCTCAGACCCGTTGCCCCTAACAACCGTAGGCCTCAATTTCAGCAACTCCAAACAAGCCTCCAGTCGGAAACGGGAGGCCCCAGCGGCCACGGGGTCGAGCACCCAGGGCTTGTGGCAGTTGTTCGCCACCTGGGCGGCTATCTTCATGGCCGGTAGCCAGTCCGGAGTGAGTGTTCCCACGTTGATGTAGAGAGCGTGAATCTTGGGGGTGAAATCGGGGATTTCTGCAATAGAGTGTATCATCGCCGGAGACGCGCCGGCGGCGACTAGGACGTTGGCGACGAGATCCATGGAGACGAAGTTCGTGATGCACTGGACCAGGGGCGAATCTCGCCGCACAGATTCTAAGAGGGTCCAGGCGGTTTGGGGCCAAGACTCGGTGCTCTTCCCTATGTCTTGCTTGGATGTGTCCGCCATTGTTGTGTTTATCCTGCACCAAATTCAACTTATACGCGGGTACGTTTCGTGAAGAGGTTAGGGATTTTGATGTATGGTTCTCTCAAGATTTGATGACGTGAAATGTCGTATTTTTTAATTATTATTTTTTTTAAAAGAATATATATTACTTGTTTATATTAAAAATGCGAGCACTCTCGTGCGACGCACGAACGAATTTTTTACTTAATTCTTTTTTAAAACTTTATTTTATATATAATTATTTATATTTAAACATCTCATTATGGTAATAAAAAAAACAAAATAAAAAAAATTATATATTATCTATTTAAATAGGATGATTCATATTTAATAAAAATTAATTATATGCATTATTACACAATTTAATTAGTATAATTTTGTTTTGACGTATGAGACAACATAATATGAAATTGTTATATACCATAAAGTATATTATATGAATAATCCAAAAATATGAATTTTTTATCAGATATATAAAAATGAATTAGTGTGATTAGATAATTTTTTTTTTAATTTTCGGATTTCAAACTCAAATAAAAGTTTGATTATTACAAAAATAAAAATAAAGACCAAATTCAATAATTCCAAATTATTTAGGAAGAAAATTAATCACAATTTTAATTAAATTATTTATCTTTTTATATATTAATAGATAGATAGATAAATTAATAGATATAGATATAGTATAGCATTCAACTAAGTAATGTGTACGTAATAATTAAGGACTCAACAAAGTACAATCAACACAGAATTACCCAATTCTCCTTGAGAAATCCCCAAACCAAAACGAAAAACTAAAATATGCGTTGTCTCTTTCTCATATGAACTCAGCTTATTGTCATTACCATTGAGAAAAGTAAAATAGAATGAATCGCTTCATCTATTTCATTGTAGATCATCACATACATGTTGCGATAGGTTTAAGCTTGTGTATCCACTTCTCTGATACTCAACCATGAATTGGAAAACACCAGACATCTAGAACCTTGAAAGATGTATAATAAAGGCCCTCACGGGGAATCAAATACAAAGAATTTAAGAAAGAAGGCATGTCTTAAATGCTGGAACAGTATAACACTACAGTAATTTGTCAGATTCTTGAATAAGTAAATAGCACCTTCCGATCAGTAGAACGTGTTTTCAAAACATGGGGGCTCATCATGTAAAACTGAACTTGCAGATCATCAGCCACACATGGTTCTCAACTCTTACCAAACCACTCGTATACTTCAACAGAGTAATCCTTTAACAAAACTAATGTGCCAATTAAAAGTTTAACTCAAAGGCAGAAGCAGTCACTTCACTTACTTGTAAGTACTTTTTGGAACAAATTATTACCAGGTCATCTTTGATCCTATACATTGAGGGTTCATCTTTTTCACCAACTTTTTTGATGTCTTACATTCAGTCTAATTACATGGTAAAAACTGTTATCAAGGAAGGGCAGTCAAGAAACCTCAAAGATATAATTTCTACAGGAAACCAATAGTGAAACGAAAGTTCGAATTCCCTATTTCTGCAATGTAGTGACATTATTAATACCAGCGTCCCCAAAAAGACTATCAGTTAGTCATGATTAAAAAAAAAAGAAAAAAAAAATCAAACAGTTTCAGAACATGAAATCATTGAGCTTTAGAGTGAAACAAACCTTGAGGTGACCACTTTCATGGAAATCCATTTGCTAAGTTCAGTCAAAAGCTGTTCATTCCCACTTTTCTCGTGTCTGTTCAACACAAATGTGATTTTCAGTTTGTCTTCAAAGAAAGAATAGCTCGAGACATTACCACATTATAATAATGTTATGTTTTGTATATTGGCGAAAATGTGAAGCAAAGACAATAAGAACAACAATCATGAAATGTACTTATGACAAAGATATTGCACTAAACAAAACCACCACACAAACAAGGGAAGAAGGAGAAAGTACAAAAGTCAGATAAATACAATTGTAGTGAAACTCACTCACTTGCTAGTAGCATCATCTTTCTGTACTCCAGACCGAAAAAACTTATATGCAAAATCACAGCTAATTTGAGTCAATTTGATTACAACACAACCAAAACAATATTGACAAGTATAAAATAACCGGTTGCTAAACATGCTCAAAGAACCGGGTATCATAATCCTAGCATTATTTCTTGCCTGGCAAAGAAAATAAGTTGCCAAATTCTCAAGAGATTACAAAATGAATTTTCAGTATGGTATCCACAAATGATATTGTAATCTCATATCTAACAAAATGTTCCACGAAAATCAAATTTAGGATGGAAAATTGACAGAAATAGTATACCTGAACAACTGAAACTAATGAGATCCCTGACCCCGTCAAAGTGGGAGGACTTAGTAACTTGGATTTTGGATTGACTGAATACGCAACAAGGGAAGCAGATAGAACTTTTAGCACTTGAATCATAAAGTAGATATTAATCAAAATTCCAGAAGTTATATCAGAATATGTATATATATATATATATATATATATATATATATATACAATCCAGGTTATTTAGGTTATTTGCAGATTTACTGAGTGGCCAATGCCCTTATGAAGCAGAAGAGCCTGTAATAGATTTCCCAATCGGGACATAATCATTAGATTGTTATAGTTGAGTGAAATGCAACAATGAGAGTCCTAAGTCACCAATAAATTAATTCAACAGTATATTGTTGAACTTCTTTTCCTTTCAGTGTATAGGGGAGTGGAAAATTAGTCATTCTCATTTTGTAGTTTATTTTCCCTTGACTCGAATCACCATTAAACATGATTCACAAAATAATTGTTCAATTTTTAACTAGTCGAAACACGTGCAAAAAGCTTCATCTGGCATTCAATACTAATACCAAAGCATATCAATCCACAAAGATCCAAAAGCTACTGATACATATAATAACATAATTTCAGGAGATAGCTATGTCACGTTGGTGCGAGCTATTGATGCAGCTAAATAGTTCTTTCAGAGAACTACCAAAAAAAAAAAATATTTCGATGTTTTTCTCTGCCCAGAATAGCCTCAAACTGACTGAAATCATCACTAGCGATCAAAGTATGATCCCCCTGTAGTCTTCGAAACTGCATAGCTCATGTGATCATTCACCAGAACTGTTGGATCCTACGGGTAAACACGTAAATCGACTGAATCCCACCTCATCAAAGTCTACCCCGCACTCAACAAAAACCTTCGAATCAATTCAGACGCTGATGCATCAACAACAGGAATCAATTCATGACCAGCATCGACAAATTCCAACAACGACGCAACATCTACAGACCCACCAAACCCTATCTCCACAACATAACCAAAAATCAAAAAAACAAAACTATCAATTTGCAAAAGAAAATAAAAAATCCATACAACTAAAGTGAGTATCGCTGTGTTCACTTACGGTCGACCGTAGGCCAGACAACGACAATGACATCGTACAGATACTGCCTGTCTCTCCGCAATGTGAGCTTGGGATTGTTCGCGAGCTTAAAATCAAGGTCGAACCCTCACTGAAGAAGATGGAATGCGATAAACATAAGTTATTTCTCAGCCTAATTAAGTGGCAAGAATCAAAATCAATTAACTACACCAACCAATTGGCAATTGCAATTTGCACATCGAAACAAAAAAATTATATATATAAAAAACAATAAATTTACCTTGACGAAGCTGCCGCACTTCATCATCTGTCAGAAGTCGCCAAATTTGACCCTCCCGTACCCACTTAAGTCGACCCTGACGACCATACTCCGGTACTCATCCGGCGTCTTCACCTACTTCAGCCCCAGCGCCGCCAGCACCGACCATAGCTCATTTACTGTGATGAACCCGCCCTTCCCCGATATAAAACCCTAAACGCCTCTCGCACATCCTCTTCACCACCATTCCCCTCTTCGCCTACACCGTCTTCCAATGCCGCCGCGTACAGGGTGCCGAACTCCTCAGCGTCCATATAGGCGTCCCCGTCAGCGTCAATCTTTCTGATAATCGCCCGTAGCTTATCCTCCGACACGCCAATCCCGAGAGCTCCTCGCCGCTGATGTTGCCATCGTCGTTCATCGAGCATGGAGAAGACCCGATGGAGCTCCACCATGCCCATCTCCTCATGTCGAGCCCTAATTGAAGAAATGGTTTGTATTTGATTTTGGGAGAATTAATTTGGCTTTAATTTGTTTTGATCTTATTTTGGAAGAGATGGCGACAGAGAATTAATTTGGATATGATTTTATTTTCCAAGTCAAACTGTTGTAGCAATTCGTTCATCGGGTCAATTTCTCGAGGAAGACGATTCGGAGCGTCGGTCTTAATCACACACGAAAAGAAAATAAGTCATAAATACTCTAATTACGATTGATTTGAGAAATTAACTAAAACAAGCTAGAACTAAAAAAACAATTTACAGAAATAACAATTAAATTTCTAGAGAAAAAGAAGAAGTTCTGGGGGTCGAGAAATCTCATCAAGTCTTAAACTATGTTGAACGGTTATTTATTCGGTTATGAGATTTAACAAGCCTACACGTCTAGAGGGCTATGCTCAATAACTCTTCGTACCAAGAGCACAAACATAAACGATAAACTCATTCAAACAAGCAACACATAGACAATACTTTTACGAACATGTCTACTCCATATGAGCTTAAATTGACTGACGTCTCCCCTCTCGGTTCTAAACGTCGATTAACTAGGTTAGAATGGTGATCAATCAACTAACCCTATAATTCACACAACTCGTATAGATTGAACAAAACACATTCCTCGTAATTCAAAACAAGAATCAAAATCCCTAACCTTAGGTGAAAGAATTACCTCATTCTTAGATTCAATTTCATGTTAACGGAAATTAAGAACATAAAACCAATCAACAATAATAAAATAGAATTGAAAAACTTACAATCGGATTAAGAGTTGCAAGATTTCAATCCAAATATCTTTGTGTCCAACAATCCAAGCATGAGAAAATAAAAAGAAAAGCGGAGAAAATTATCCTAACAATATTGAGTTTTTTGGAGAGAAAAATTGAACAAAACAAGTTTGGGGATGGAATAATATGCCTGCTGTTAAAATCCGGCAACTTGAAATTCGCGTCGCTAAGTCGCGGGCCCCCCTTATCACGAAATAAATCTTCGAACGAAGAGTCGCAACTTAAGTCGCGAGTCGCGACTTCCATGTCTCCTTAGGTCGCGAGTCGCACTGGGGTTGGTCGCGACATATCTCGCGAGTCGTGAGTCGCGACTCGAGCTCGCGAACTGCACCTTCAGGCTCTGTTTTTCTCGCGAGTCGCGACTCGAGCTGCACTGCGCCACTTTACGTTTTGGGCTCGTTTGGGCTCGTTCGAACTCGAAATTGAGTTCCGTTTTTTCCTATATTTTGCCAACGAACCCCTCTATTCAAATATGCTCTCGAAACCAATTTTTCCTGTTAAGAAAATTCGCCCAAAGCTTCCGACCTACTCACCAAAAATGAAAAAGTACAAAGAAAACAAAAAAAACAAACGAAAAACACCTAAGGACTCAAAATGAAGGAAAACACAGAATAAAATACGAAACGGACTAAAAACAAAAGAAACGACCTAAAATGGGGGAAAAAGAAAGATGAAATAAACACGAAAAACGCAACAAAAACGGGACAAACAACTCCCCACAAGTTCGTCCCGAACAAAAAGAAGAGAAAAGAAAAAACACCAAATGCAAACCGAGCATGGACAACAGTCAATAACAAGATAGTCTGAACATTCAACTTCAACAACGAGCATTCAAATGGCACATACAAGCATTACACAACTACATGCTTGATCTCTATACTTCGACTTGGCGTTCTCTCAAGTATGGGAATATATATGTGTGCCTCACTCGAATTCCCATACAGATAAAAATAGGTGCACTCAAATTGGTAGATAACAAGTTCAATCATATGCTTGCCCATTGTCTAACTTCTACTTTAAACCAATCAAAATCGAAACTAGTGCATCAAAAGGTCTTTCAAGGTTGTAACGTAGGCTCATTGGACGGGTAGGATAAATATAGGCTAAGTGGCTGGAATTCATAACTCAAACACCTTACCCCAGAATCATACACGCAACCGATTTACTCAAACAGACCGGATCATCCCCCACACTTCTCCTAAAACCACATGTTTCACCCATCTTATTTCATTTTTTTTTTTTGTTTTCTTTTGGTTTTTCTTTTTCTTTTTTTTTTTGTGTAAACCTTATTGGATATTTTATAATCCATTCGGCTACATTTTTTTCCTCTTTTTTTCTTTCATCTTTCTTTTGATAAAAAACATAAACACAACTCCAACAAACGACTCCAACAATCATCCCCTCCAATTCTTAACCCGCAACTCCAACAACGTCATCATCACGAGATTATCAACAAAAATCAAATAAGGCTCAAAGGGGGAGACTAGGGAATAATTTGTAGAGAAAAAAAAGGAATAGAATACAATAAACGCCTTAATCATATACATAGTTCACAATTCTAATCAATTTATTTTAATGAAGACTCAGGGCAAGTTCTAATCAAACAAGAGCACGACAAATGTATCTCAAAAAACAAATAAGGCTCAAACCTCACTAGGTAGATATATGAATGCTAATCAAAGCAATCAACCAAGCATTTTATCACGCTATGCCACACATGACCAACATCACAACTCATTGAATTCATCAAATAAGTCTTAACTAATCTTGAAATTCCAAAGTCCATACTCATAAGACACACAAAACCTACACTAGACCGGTTCACCACATGAGCATGCAAAATCCACGTAAACTCCCCCACACTTAAAATGAGGCAATGTCTTCATTACTTCAACAAAAAACTAGGAAGTCAAATAATAGGACCAAGCAATTTCACATAATGAACCAACCCTACCAGCTAACACAAGAACACCAAACTCAGAAGAAAGGATAGAAGGAAGAAGCAACACAAAAAGATAAAAAGAGAAAAGGTGTGCAAACCGAAGATGCATCGAGTAGAGTAAGCATTCCCATGCAGGTCTTTCGCCCATGCTCAACCCAAAACCTAGATCTTTCACGTTCATCCGTATTCCCCTGCTCGAGCTCTTGAACTCGTTCCTACCAAGAAAATTACCAAAACTCCAATTATTCGTAGATAAATAATAAAAAGCAAAAAGAAAATAACTAAAAGAGCGATAAAACTTGGGTTGTCTCCAAAGAAGCGCTTGCTTAACGTCATTAGGTTGACGAAACCCATGAGGAACTCAGCCGGGATCCAGAAAGAAGTGACGATCATGCCACGCCTTTGTGTTCTGTAGAAGTGGTAGCATCGGAAGTGTGGCAAGAAGGCAAGCACGGTGGATCCGGGTAGCTATGTTCTTAATGAAACAGGTGTGGGTACGAGCAATCTCCATGAACTGACAAAGAGCCTTTCCCACCCGAGCTCTGTCGTCAACCTCCGGAATTATAAGCGCATCCGTGGAGCAAATCGAGCTAAAACCGGCTCACTTGGTAGCATAGTGTAACAACTCCGAAGGTGAATGCTCCAACTCGGTGGAGGGAGGATGATGTAGGGGAAGTGTGAACGAACGGGAAGATACACGAGATGCTCTCTCGTAAAACTCAAAACTCTTAACGTTTTATTTCTTAATCTCAAAATTCACCCCCTGCTACAATAAAGAGAGGATCTATATATAATCCTTCAACCCTAAAATTCTTATCTTACTACACAAGATAACTTTCAATAATAATTATTCCTGATCTAAATACCGTAAATAAAGAAATAGAATAATAATAATAATAATAAGGCAATAATATAATTAAATTAACGTCAAAAGTCGATTGTATTTGTCCAGAAAAGCCTTCGCAAGCTTGTCTCCATCATCCTCCCCCGACTGAGAAGGATTCGCCCTCGAATCCGGACCAAGCTCGTCACCATCGAGGGACAAAGGGGCCAATTGCGTCATATGAACAACATCCGACATACGCACATGAGAAGGCAAGTGAAGAAGAAAGGTGTCCGGTGAGAGCTTGTCGACGATCTCGTAAGGCTCCAGCCTACCGTCCGACGTGGAAACATACCGCACAAAATCACCGACGTCAAAAACGAAAGACAAACTATCCACTGACCCACACAACTCCTCACGTGTTTCGCAGCGATAAAGGAATAAAGTCGGTGACAAAGAAACCGAGCTGTTAGCTGAAGGGTGTAGAACAATGTGGACCCCCTCATGTAAAAACTCATGTGTTAAGGCGTCCATCGTGTATCACAGAACGACCAAATTGCCAAGGAAGCCCCAACAAAAGGTGCCAGTCATCCATAGGCACGATATCACACCAAACCTTGTCCTCATAAACCGTCCCAACAGAAAAAGACACCAAGACTCGACGAGTGACAGTGACAGCATTTGCCCGTTGCATCCACGCAAGAGAATATGGATCTGGATGTGGCTCACTCAACAAACCAAGCTTCGTCACTGCCTCATTTGAGATCACATTGTCGCTGGCACCAGAATCAATCACAAAACGGCACACCCGACCGTTAATGGTGCACGTGGATTCAAACAGTCGGCGTCTCAAGCCCTCATCTTCGGTAGCTACGTGGGGAGACAATAGCGACCGACGAAGGACCAATGCCGTACCGACGTCACCCGAGACATGTACCACGGGCACCTCCGGCTCCTTATCGAAAATAGGAGGACCATCATAACCGCTCGTCTCAAGCTCCTCAATCAACAAACCTCGCGCCTCCTTTTCCTTAGTGAACTGCGCCTGACGATGTCTTGGTTCATCGCAGGAAAAGCAGCGAAGCGCGCCAGGTAGCCGATTGTTGCCCCCAGTCGAGGGGCCAACCTCACGTCCCGACACCTTGCTGAACAGTCGATGTAGTTGGTGTCGAAGCCCCAGTCCCCGTAATCCCTTTCACCAACGGCGGCCAAGATGAGCCCGTTTTCCTAGCCTGTTGGTGCTCAACTAACAAAGCCCGTTGATGCGCATCAGAAACCGAATCAGGCACGAAAAGATTGAGCATGTCCTGGATTGGACCACGTAGACCCCCCACATAACGCGAAACCAACTGTTCCAACATCTCACGCATATCAACACGGGTCAACAATAAATAAAATTCCTCCGTATACTCATCAACCGAACGCGAGCCTTGCCTCAAATTTTGAAATTGTTGATAAACCGAACGAGCATAACTAAAGGGCAAAAATTCATGTTCTAAATGCTTACGGAATCTTGTCGAGATCTTTGGCTTGCCCAGACGCTGTCGCGTGCCTTTGAGTTGCAACCAACAAGCAGCGGCCCGATCGCGAAGCCTTGTTGCGACTAACCCCACAAGTCTATCCTCCGGCACATCCTTAAAATTGAGCACGGACTCTACCGCCGCCCACCAGTCAAGAAATTCAGTCGCGTCAAGTCCGCCCGAAAATTCAGGAATCTCGACCCGAAAACTCTGCTCCCATCGTGAGTCGCCGGTTCCATCCACTGGGCAACAAAAGTCTGGTCGGAACTGGGCAATGTTCGTCGGGCCAAACTCACACTGTCGCGCCTCATCCTCTTGATCGGCCCATCCCCGCCGCTGCCGTCCGCCGGCATGGATTCCTCGTCCAGCGCGGCCATAGCCCCCACCGCGACGAAGGAGATCACCGCCATCAAAGCCAGCGCCGTCGCGGTCGAACCACCCTCCCCGACGCTGCTGGTCGTCACCCCCGAAACCCTGGTCGTCGCGGCGCCCCCCTCGACGACGCTGGTCATCACCATCTCGGTCGAAGCCGGCACCGTCGCGGTCGAAGCCCAAGGCCCCTCGACGTTGATCGCCGCCGACCAAGTTATGGCCTCCGCGCTGCCAGCCACGGCCACCTTGTTCGTCGAAGCCGCCATCCTTGTCCTGGTGATGGTGTAACTCCGCGAACGGGTTAACCACGGATATGGTGTCCTCGTCGTCCTCTTCGCCGGACGGCGGTTGTGGCGATCGCTGGCGGGGCGCCCCGCCTAGTCCACGACCACCACGACCACCACGAAACCCCCCGCGCACGCCCCGGTCGCTGGCGTCACGGTTCGTCTGCAACTCTCTAACCACGTTGTTGAGCGCCAAACGCAAATCTACGATACCCGAAGAAAGACCCTCAAACCTCTCCATGAAACGCTCTTCTAATTACACAAACCGGCCGTCGATTTGTTGAAATCGGTCGTGGAAGACTGCGTCACGTAGTTCATTTGCGGCATCCTGTCTTTTTTGCGGCATCATATGATCGTAGCTGGTCTGATGATGGAGACGAGCTTTCGATGGATTTTATGCACAAATACGATCGACTTCCGACGTTAATTTAATTATATTATTGCCTTATTATTATTATTATTCTATTTCTTTATTTATGGTATTTAGGATTAGGAATAATTATTATTGAAAGTTATCTTGTGTAGTAAGATAAGAGTTTTAGGGTTGAAGGATTATATATAGATCCTCTCTTTATTGTAGCAGGGGGATGAATTTTGAGATTAAGAAATAAAACGTTAAGAGTTTTGAGTTTTACGAGAAAGCATCTCGTGTATCTTCCCGTTTGTTCACGCTTCCCCTACATCAGAGGAGGGACTTGAGAAATGGTGAAGTGGAGTACTTGATCAAGTCCATGAATCTCCTCCTCTGAAATATCATCAGCGTCTCGCTGGAGTGCATCATCTTCGGTCTCACACATGTGCATCGAAATGCACGTTTTGGCTCCAACCATAAGATGGGGGTCGTCGACTTTTGACTCGATAGAGTCAAGACGTGCTGTTAGATTATCTATTTGAGCGCTCAGTCGAGCACACCCGAGCTCAATCTCCCTTTCTCGGTTTGCTTGGGCCATCATACGATTGAGGATGAGATCAAGTTTGGCATCGTATCCCGAAGAGTCATCCTAGAGCTCACCGAAAGGTATGGGCATCGGATGTGGGTCCACAACCATGGGCTCATCGGCTCGTGACTCGATAGAGTCGATGCGCTTTGCTAGACTCTCCAATTGCTCGCTCAAACTTCCACATCTGAGCTCCACCTCTTCTTCTCGGTTTTCTTGGGCCATAATCCGATCAGGATTAAATTAAGTTTTTCGTTGAATGCGGCCACTTCTTCTCGAGCTGTTATAAAGGTAAGAGTTCGGTCGAGCTTCTCATTATGCTTTGAGGTTCGCTCCTGAAATTCACAACTGGTGCCAAATTCCATTGCTGATCAGAAGGATAAAGATAAGATTGGTCGTAGTGTAACTCGGCCCATTATTCCTGTAGAGAGTGTGCGGGGAGGAGAAAACACGGTTGACGTTCATATTCTCTGCACACCTGAATAGAACGACCACACGAAGCCACAAAGAGAANCAACGATAGAGAACTCCATTAATAACGAAAATGGACAACAATCCGAATACAACCCCCGAGGGGACAACACTGAGAGACACACTTCAACAGTGGTCTAGAAGTAACGACCCACAACACGACTAAAGCAGGGAGAAACGCCCCGAGCCCTTTAGCCGGTTTAATCCACCAAACACCTAAAAACCACAACCTAAAACTATCCCACAAAAAGCCCAAACCCACAGCAACACAGAAAAACTGCAAGTGCAATTACACATAGCAACACCTAATTACATCACCCACAGTCGCTAACCACACATCAACATGACCATCCAAAATCACATCAAAAGCACTCCCACAAAACCTGTACATACCACCAACAACAAACATAAAAAGCAAAACAGAAAAGGAAAAAGACTATAATAAAAGCTTTACAATCACGAAAGCAAAGCTACCGGAGTAGAATCTAAAGATTCGTTCCCCGGGTCGTATCGCAAGGAAGGTTAGCCGGATATTCTTGTGCATTTATTCAATCACGAAAAAGAGAAATCAAATTCTTAAACATTCTAATTCAATAGTTTGAGGTTTTCAATTATCAACTAAGGATTCTAAACTAAATTAAACGCAATGTAAATGGCAAACAAATTCACTTAATGATTAAAGTGCTAGGAATCGGGGATTTGTGTAAGGTTGGCTCGGCTGGCGGTGTCACTGGGGTTTCTTGCTTCTTCAGGCCCTCTTTTTTTTCCTTTGTTCTTTTCTCCTACGACCTCCCCTTCGATGTTGGGCAAAATCACAGTCACTGTATTCACATGCTCTGGCTGACTAGGCAACTTTCCCTTGTTCAATTTAGTCTCGATGGTTCCGACCCGTGTGGCCAGTTGGCCCACTTGCGTCTCAAGCCGCTTAAGAGATGCATCTTGGTTCGTGATAAACTGGAGGATCTTGTCAAGCTTGTCGTCCTGGAGAGATGAACTCGACCCTGCTCCCGGTGCTTACATCCTGGCTTCTGGTCCCCTCTGCTGCTGTTGTATCTGGTAGTTCGGACGGGGAATGAAATTGGGTCGAGGTTGTTGCTGCATGAAATTCGGACGGGGTTGCTGGAGGGTGTTCGTGTTGTTTGACCAGAAGAAGTTGGGATGATTCCTCCACCCCGGGTTGTATGTGTTTGAAATGGGTCATTGCCTGGCCGGTTCTAGTATCCCTGTAAAGCACTAGCATCCACATACTGCTCACCAAAATCCTGCTTGAACGAAGAGGGGCAAACTTTGGACGGGACTCCACATGCCCCACACGTGTCAACTGCCATAGTTTGCACCGGCTGAGCTCCTCGTGCGTTAAGTAACCGCATCTGCTCCGTAAGCTCAGCTAACTGCTGGGCCATCAGGTTATTGCTCGGCCTGACCTCGTTCACTGTCACTCTCTTCCCCCGGATGTTATTCTGCAACGAGTTCTTGCTCATTGTCTCAAATATGTCAAACATCTCCTCAGCCGTTTTTCCTCCGACATCTCCTCCTGCAGCATTGTCGACCATATACTGCAAGTTCTGGTGGAGGGAGTCGTAGAAGCAGTTCATTAGTAGCCCAGGAGACAGGTTGTGATGAGGGCACTGTCGTTGGAGATCCTTGAACCGCTCCCAAGCCTCGTGAAGAGGCTCATTCTGTAATTGGGAAAATGAAACGATTTGTGACCGGAGCTCCTGGGTCTTTGGATGGGAGTAGTACCTGTAGCGCCCCATTCAATTTATAGAATTTCTCGAAATATTCTATTTATCGAATATTATTTATAAGGTTATATTTATTTTATTAGTCGCGATGTCGACTTAAATATAAGGTTGGAATACTCGATCGTTTTATTGAAAAATGTTCATCGTTCGGCGATTTTGGTTTAATCACGTGAGACAGATCTAGCCCGTTTATTTGTGGATTTTTGGGATTATTATTATTATTATCATTAATTGCGAATATTGTGATTATTATTGTTATTACCTGATTATCATTATTGTATTTATTATTATTATTATTATTATTATTATTATTATTATTATTATTATTAATGAATGTCTAAATATTACTATTTGTCTAATTGTAATAAAATTGCCTAAATGTGTATTCTTATTTTTATTGTTATTATTATTATTATTTTAAAAATATATAAGTGCAATTTATTTATTTCCCGGCTTTTATTTGTTATCGTGCGATTAATCGATCCCGACTATACCCGCATGAACCGAACCGGCCCTCGAGCTTAACCCGCCCAAGCCCCGGTTCACTAAAATCCGTGCGTGTGTGTGCGTGTGAAATTTCTTGGTTGTCAAGAAAATTTATTAGACCTAGTCATTGTGTATATATGTATACACTTGTATCTATCGCCCCTCTCGTTAGAATTCTCTCACACGCAGCTTTCTCCATCTCAAATCGCTCGATCTCTCCTTCCTTCTCTCGCAAAAATCTGACCGCCGCAGCCTTCACTCAATCCCGTCACCATCCCCCTCCGTTCACTATCGTCTTCCCTCGCCGTGAACGGAAGTTCCGTCGTCATCATCCCTCGCGTAGTTTTTTCGACGAATCCAGTCACGCCGCTCACAGCTCCGCTGCGAGCCGTCCTTCGTTGTGAACTAGTCCGATCGATGACCTTCCTCCGGCGACCTCCAGCAACCCGACGTGGACCCCTGTTCGCGAACTTCCGACGACCTGCTCTCCTCCCGCGTCGCGAACAGAAGCCCCGCCACGCCGCGACGCCACCGCAGAAGCCCCGCCTTGCCGTGAGCATCCCTCCACGATCTCTGTCCGCAAGTTCCGGCGACTCCCTCCTCAGCGAACGTTGAACACGCGACCAGCAGGCCCCCGGCGACTCATCTTCAGCCACATGTCATCCGGCGAGCCTTCCTTCACCGTCTGCTGCTCCTCCGTGTCAAGCACCGAGCGCCGCAGCAACCGAGCAGCCGAGAACAGCTGCCGCTGCTGCTCCTTTCCCGGCGAGACGCGTGAATCCGTCGATCCCGTCATCCCCGTTCGTGTCCTTCGTTCCGTTTTTCCGAGTTTTTCTCGAGAACGGTACCAAGTCGAACCGTCTCGCTAAATCGTGTATTCGTGTATATTGTTTGCGTTATGTGATTGATGTGTTGTGCTTACCTTGCGATTTAATGTACACGTTATGGTGTTATGTGAAAAATTGGATTTTAATGTGTTGTTTGTGTTTTGTGGACCTCCTCGATTTTGAGAAAATCGAGTGAGACCTCAAAACTCGTGTAAGGCTATGCAGTTTGGAACCATGTCGAGTTCTTGGCCTTATGGAAGGCCTCAGACGAGAGTTACGTGTTATGAATCATGTGTGATCTTATCGAACTCGTATACTTACTGTTTTAGTTTTAAAATTGTTAAAAATTGTGTACTGCTCGGATTGCCTTGAAATTTTGAGGGTCATGTATTCTG